AAAAAAAAAAAAAAAAAGGACCCAGGATCATGACACAAATTTAAATAATACAAACATTAAATATCACATTTCCACATCCAGACTGCACCACTGTTTTCCTCCTACAACACACAAACTATCAGCTGACTGTAGCTCAAGTGGAAGTGAAACCTATAAGCTGGATCAATAGGCAAGGTGACTAACAATCCTAAGATTTTAACTAGTGATAACTGGTTCTCTACAGGGATCCGTTCTCGATTCTCATCCCTAATCTTGAGAAATGCTGAAGAAAGCAACCAGACTTTTTCCATTTAACTGAAGCATGAAATAGTTGTTAAAAATCCACTCCGTGGAGATTTGGCTTTATGAGTTCGGCGAAATGACACCTCTGATGGATGCACATCACAGCTGTGTCAGCATTTCTCTCCTCCCAGGCCATAGCCTCTGACTACCAACAGGCTTACTTCACCACTCCCTGTCACAGACGCGTGGGTCTTGGTGATATACAAGTGTAATCTATTACTACGCACTTACACTAATTGTCTTCAGCTGGAAGTGGCTGCTATGACCTTTTTATGGGAAATGAAAATAAGTGGAGGCGCAGAACAGGCGATATTGGATTCTGTTGTTAATTAATGTGTGTATTATCTGGGTGGATGAAGCCAGGGGGAGGAAGTTAATTGAATTACAGTCAGCGAGTTGGATAATGCGCTGTTGTAATTGTTCGACTGCATAAGACAGTGCTCGCATTAGGGAGACGAAAGGCAGGCCTGATTTGCTTCAAGAGAATGGTAAGAAATTACTTGTTTGGTTTTGGGGTGTGAGGCATGACTGAGTTTCTAATTTAACTCTTGGGTTACTGTAAACATATGCACTATTAAAAGTTTGTGTATTCACTGCTCATCGTTACAGTTCTGCACAGTACTAAACACATCACAGAATCCCTGCTTATAGTGTTCAATTAGCCACTTATTAAATAAGTTATATCCTTTGTCCATTTCATTATTAATTATAGAACTAAAATTGGCTGCATAACCAACTGCTGTCTATGACAAAAGACCGCAGTCCCAAAGCTCATTGGTGCAAAGCAGTCAAAGCCTATTTCAAGGTGGTGTTTTCCTCAGAAAGGAAAGTGAGACAGAAGCTATTCTTGAGGGTGACCGTGGCTCAGGGGGTTGGGAAGCGTATCTGTAACCGGAAGGTCGCCAGTTTGATCCCCAGGCTCTCTGTCCTGGTCGTTGTGTCCTTGGGCAAGACACCTACTGGTGTTGGCCAGAGGTTATGGTGTTCAACCATATTTTTTTTCTTTGCCAAGTCTATTCATCGACAGCTTTTAAGGTTACAACAATAGGAATTATACTTACATTCCAACCAACTTCACCACCCTGGACAACCGCAAAGAAGACCTGGACAGTTTGCAGCCGCATATTAGCGAGTGGGTTTCCATGCAAGTTGTTATGGGGAAACCAGGTAACAAGGTGCCGACTCCCTTCAGCAGCAAAAGAACACAAACCTCAGACTAACCTGAGTGAGCTTCACCACAAAACAATGACATGGTGAATATTTTGGCGTCCATAGATTAAAATAACAAAACAAAAACTGTCCAGCTTTGATGCACGCCAGGCCCTCTTGGAAATCCTCCATAAAGATTTTCACGCATGCGCGAATCCGAAGAGTTCAGCCAGCAGCAGGTCGAAACACTTGGTGCTGAAAACGCCACCCTCAAAGAGTGAAGAGTGTGTCACAGAGGGAATGGTCTGACTCTCTGAAGAAAATGTTAAAAATCAATGAAACTGTCAAAGAAACTACCAGAGAAGACAGAAGACGACCCGGAAACAATGG